TGAAGGGGCAGAGGACAAAGGAGGCGATAGCAATAGGAGGCCTGGTTTTGAAGCTCCTGGAGAGGTGTCATCAGATGGTGACTCAGATTTTGATACTGAAAGTGAGGGTGATGGGGATGATATTGAAGGGGATAATGAATGGACAAGTAAGGTGAGAAGGAAAAAAAAACTGCCTCGGTTTAAGCAGTATATAAGGGCGGTGGACTTAAAGAATCCTAAGTTTCGGCTTGGGATGCAATTTGAAAACAGACAGGTTCTTAAGGAGGCACTCAGGGAATATTCCATTATTCATGGAAGGAAACTGTTCTTTGAAAAAAATGACAAGACGAGAGTAAAGGCAATTTGCAACGGAGGATTAAAATGTCCATTTGTGGTTTATGCTTCACAGATTGGAAAGAATGTGCAAACATTTGTAATTAAGAAGTTGAGCTTAGAACACACATGTGGGAGGGTGGAGAAACTGAAGTTTGCTAATCCCAAATGGATTTGTGACAGATTTTCTAGCAAGATTAAGAGAAACACATATTGGAATCTCAAAGCTTTTCAAGGAGAAGTTTTGGAGTCCTATCATGTGAGGGTGTCCAAAACTCAAGTGTATAGGGCAAAGAAATTGGCTAAAGCACAAATTGAAGGAAACTACATACAGCAATATGCACGGTTGTGGGACTATGCAGAGCAGTTGAAGAAAACCAACAAAGGTAGTACAGTGAAAATTAAGTGTGATATGGTTGGGGGTGAAGCAATATTTCAAAGGATTTATGTGTGTTTGGCTGCTTGTAAAAGAGGGTTTTTAGAAGGGTGCAGGCCTGTAATTGGGGTTGATGCTTGCCATTTGAAAGGTCCTTATTCTGGCCAAATATTGACTGCTGTAGGAGTTGATGGTAATAATGGTCTTTTCCCAATTGCATATGCTGTGGCTGAGATTGAAAACAAGGACTCTTGGATTTGGTTTCTGTCTTTGTTGATTGAAGATTTAGGTATTAGAAATGGTTTATCCTGGGCTTTCATAAGTGATAATCAAAAGGGGCTCATACCTGCCATTGCACATGTACTACCAACTGCAGAGCATAGGATGTGCGTCCAGCACTTGTACAATAATTTCAGAGCAACACATCTTGGTCTCCCTCTTAAACACATGTTGTGGGCAGCTGCCAGAGCCACTACTATTCCTTGGTGGGAAGCAGAAATGGACAAGATGAAGGAAGAGGACTTGGAAGCTTGGAAATGGTTGGTGCAGAGACCACCCAATAATTGGACCAAATCTCATTTTCATACAAGGTATAAGTGTGATCATCTACTGAACAACCTTTGTGAGAGCTTTAATGCAGTTATAATTGATGCCAGAGATAATTCCATTTTAACATGTTTGGAGAGTATTCGAATGTATGTGATGCTTAGGATGGCTAATCGAAGGGCTGCTTGTGGTAAATGGAAACACCTTGTTGGCCCAAGGATATTCAAAATAATTGATAAGAACAAGATGGGAGCTTCTCAATGCATTCCTAGATTGGCTGGGGAGAAAATGTATCAAGTCAGTCACATGTATGGTGGGGAGTTTGTTGTAGATCTTGCAGCAATGTCTTGTAGTTGTAGGAGATGGGATTTATGTGGCATACCCTGTGCACATGCTATTTCAGCTATATTCCACAGAGATGAAAACCCTGTTGAATATGTACATGAGTGTTATAAGCCAGAGACATACATGAGGTCATATCAACCAATAGTTCACCCCATCCCTTCTATGGATCAGTGGGTTAAGGGTGGCTTGCCTCCAATTAGACCTCCATTTCATAAGCGGCAACCAGGAAGACCCAAGAGAGTGAGGACAAAGGAGGCTGTTGAGGTTCAATTACCAGCCCCAAACCTACCAAACCCTTTGCCTCCAGGTTACACTGCTCCAGCAGCAAAACTTAGAAGACTCTTCATTAAAATTAGATGTGGAGCATGTGGAAAAGAAGGCCACAATCGAAGAGGATGTGGAAGACAGGTTGTTTAATAAAAAAGGGTTTTGTTATGCATTTTAATTATTTGTACTGTGGTCCGCTGTGGTTGTGATTTTGTATAGTTGTGCTTGTATGTTGTGCAGGCTGAGGCAGCCCAAAATGGGAATGTTGGCCAAAATGAAGTTCAAGCTGCTGACAATGGAAATGCAGGCCAAAATGATATTGCCCCAGCCCAAACTGAGACTGCCCCAGTCCAAACTAATGCTGCCCCAACTCAAACTGAAACTAATGCTGCCCCAACTCAAACTGATACTGCCCTAGCCCAAATTGAAGTTATTAGGCGCAGAGGAAGAGGAAGAGGAAGAGGAAGAGGCTTATGGAATCCAGCTGCAAGGATGTCATCTTTACAACCAGTTAGTTGCCTATTATTCTTGCCCAACTCAGATTTTTTATGTTTGCCTATATAGTAATATATTTTGTTTGTGGTTTTTATCTTAGGTGGTAAGGGATATCAGTCAAGGAAGGGCCAATCTGCCAATGACATTCTCACAAGTGCCCTTGCGAGGAAGATTCAAACACACTGTCAAAAGAGGAGGACAAGTATAGACTGCCAAGACTGATTTTGTGGACTTTTAAGACCTATTTTTGGACTCTTATGTACTTACTATGTGGATGTGTATTTTGGGTGAACAATTATAAACTCAAGTATGCTATTTGGTAATGTTATTTTGAAGGCTCTTTTGCCTATTCTATGTAATGTTCAGGTGTATTTTGGATTGTATGTAATGTGCAGTTCGTGAATGTTAATTGGTAATTGAAGCCTTTTGGATTGTATGTAATGTGCCCCTGTTCATTTGGTATACAATGCCAATTCGGCACAAAATCAGCTTATATAGCAAAAATCTGATACATTGCCAAATAGGCACAAAATAACCTTAGCCCAGGT